GGATATTTGCTGTTGCTTTAAACTGAGCTCCGAGCCTTCCGCGTCTCAAGGCGATGATTCCGATGACCGACGTCCAATGTTAGAACCGGCCGAAGGCAGTACCTCGCCGGAACTTGACGTGTCCGCTGAAGCCGAACAGACTGACAGTCGCCGCTCGGAAGCTTCGCGCAAGGTTGCCAACGAAGGCAGGTTGATTTACGTTTTTGTCTTCTCTTGCCGGCAGTGCCTCTGAACACGTCAACTTTCCCTTTCTACGGTTGACTAAATCTAAGCTACTTTAATCTTGGCAGTGGCGCTTTAATCTGCGATGAGCCCTTCTGGTGTAACGCAAATGTGCATCAGTTTTGCTAAGCGTTTACCCAAACACCCTCAGCTGCAGAATTTGTCCGTGTTATGTCTAAGTTTATCAAATTATACACTCATTTGTGAGGTTACTTTTGGAATCTAAAATGAAGTCCTGTTCAGTCTTGACTTTGAAATTTATGTAAAGGTTTGAGTTAAGTGCTGTCATGGCGGCGGAAACGTTGACAGTTTCTCAAAAGCAGGTTTGCAACTGTAAGCTGTCTTCGAAGTATGTCGAAGGTGTAGTGACGGAAAAAGATCCCGGATACGTAGATCCTCGAAACTGCAGATTTTTTCATCATATACGTCATTAGTGCAGTCGCGTTGTGCATATAGTTGGTGAATGCTCATCGTTCTCGCGTATGCGGCAGTTTGTGTTCAGAGTAGTCCCACAAATTCTCTGACGTGTCTACTTTACCCGCAGCTGCACCAGATCCGTGTACGAATTACTCGTCTCTGATGATAGGTTAACCATAAATCCAAAATGTCAGGTGAGCAACGTTCCTTTTCCAGTGATCGTATCTACTTCTTTGCAACGATTTTCTGGAGATCAACTTTTCATTTGTATTTTCGTCTTCGTTGCTAGTTTGATTGACCTGCTACTTGGTGGTGTCTGCTCCAACGTACTCGTTGTTGGCAACTTCTTGGATTAGTGTGTACCTGTATAGACATTCTGCCTTACAAAATATGACCATTTTTGCGGTTTCTATCATGCTCTGCATACGTGCATCCATTCTTATGTATTATATTTTCCGTTTGCCTTTTATTTGCTCTACCTGGTTTTGCTTTTATAACTTGTGCCATCTTGTATGCGGTTTCGATAAGTGCTATTTCTTCTATTTTCACAACAGGTTCCAACGCGCCCTGGTTGTACCAATTCGTATCTCGTGTATTGGCGCCCTTTATCTTGAACAGATTTGTTCGTCCTCTTCTTGTAATCATACTCCTCGCCTGGATCTGTTTTTGCATCGCAATTATCCCTACAAATCTAAAAATCGGTCTTGATCAGCGCCTTGCCATGCCCTTGGGATCATATGAACTGGACTATTTTGATGCCGTCGCAAAATACCTCGCAGTCGGACCGCCGGTATACTTTGTCGTGACTCGCGGTCATCCCTACAACACCCTGGAGGGCCAGAATGATGTTTGCAATAGCGTCGAGTGTTACAATACCTCCCTTTTGGCACAAATTAATTCTGCCGCCAAATTTCCCGACTAGTAAGCTAAACATATGGCCTACTACATACTTTTCAGTAGTGCATATTAGTTTTTTAGTATTGTCGTCTTTACATACTTGCACTTATTACGATTGTTTTCGAAATAAACTCCTTTCTAGCTATCGCGTGGCCGCTCCAGCGACCTCCTGGGTAGATGACTTTTTCGACTGGACCGATGCACCACTAACCTACCAATGCTGCCGCGTGTATCGCAATGACTCGACGACCTTCTGTCCTCCATCTGACACCAAAGGCAACTGCACTTCTTGTCCCGTAGTAGATAGACGCCCGTATCCAGAAAACTTCACGCAATACCTGCCCTTTTTCCTACGACAGAATCCGGATAAGGCCTGTCCGAAAGGGTAATTACTATTTTCAGTAGCCTCTAACCAGACATGATTTCGTCTTTTAACACTTCTTCATGATAGGGAAAATGCAATTCCCGGAAGGAATAATGAAGAGCGCTCACCGGGGGAGGTTTATTAGGTGATTGTCATTTCGGTTAGTCCTGTCGTCCACCCATCTTCGGAGACTGTACATTATGGTCCATGGCTCTCTCGTTATAAGCCGGTCTTTTTCGTGTCTGCCAGTACCGGCTGGGCCTTTGCGTGCCGCTAGCATTTCACTATTTCTTGTGTCGCCGCCGCTTTGCTCCTCGTTGACCGCTCGTGGTCTGTGCCCGT